GTGAGTCAGGAGAAGAGTCAAGAGAGGGGGAGAGTCGGGAGGAGAGTCAAGTGAAGAGGGTCAAGAGAGAAGAGTCAAGAGAGGAGGAGAGTTGGGAGGAGAGTCAAGCGAAGAGGGTCAAGAGAGGAAGGTCAAGAGAGGGGGAGAGTCAGGAGGAGAGTCAAGCGAAGAGTGTCAAGAGAGGAAGGTCAAGAGAGGAGGAGAGTCGAGAGGAGAGTCAAGCGAAGAGGGTCAAGAGAGGAAGGTCAAGAGAAGAGTCAAGAGTGGAGAGTCAAGAGAAGAGGAGAGTCAGGAGGAGAGTCAAGAGAAGAGGAGAGTCAGGAGTAGTCAAGAGTGGAGAGTCAAGAGTGGAGATTCAGGAGAAGAGGAGAGTCAGGAGTAGAGTCAAGAGTGGAGTCAAGGGGAGAGTCAGGAAGAGAGGTAGGAGGAAGAGGAGAGTCAGGAGGAGAGTCAAGAGAAGAGGAGAGTCAGGAATAGAGTCAAGAGTAGAGAGTCAAGAGAAGAGGGTCAAGAGAAGAGAGTCAGGACGAGAGGAGAGTCAGGAGTGGAAAGTCAAGAGTGGAGTCAAGGGGAGAGTCAGGAAGAGAGTTAGGAGGAGTGTCAAGAGAAGAGGAGAGTCAGGAGGAGAGTCAAGAGAAGAGGAGAGTCAGGAATAGAGTCAAGAGTAGAGAGTCAAGAGAAGAGGGTCAAGAGAAGAGAGTCAGGACGAGAGGAGAGTCAGGAGTGGAAAGTCAAGAGTGGAGTCAAGGGGAGAGTCAGGAAGAGAGTTAGGAGGAGTGTCAAGAGAAGAGGAGAGTCAGGAGGAGAGTTAGAGGAAGAGGAGAGGAAGAGAATCAAGAGGAGAAGAGTCAAGTTGAAGAGAGTCGAGAGAAGGAGAGGAGAGTCAGGAGAAGAAGAAGAGGAGGAGAAGGTCAAGAGAAGGAGAGGAGAGTTAGGAGGAGAGTCAGGAGGAGAGAGAGTCAGGAGAGAGGAGAGGAGAGAGGAAGAAGAAAGTCGAGAGGAGAAGAGAGTAAAGAGGAGAGTCAAGAGGAAAGGAGAGGAGAGTCTAGAGGAGAGGAAAAGAGAGTCAAGAGGAGAAGAAGAAGATAGTCAGGAATAGGGAAGAGTCAGGAGTAGAGGAAAGTTGAGAGGAGAGGCAAGAGGAGAGGAGAGGCAAGAGTAGAAGAGAGTCGGGGAGAGAGGAGAAGAAGAGAGTTGAGAGGAGAAGAGAGTAAAGAGGAGAGGAGAGGAGAGTCAAGAGGAAAGAAGAGGAGAGTTGAGAGGAGAGGCAAGAGGAGAGAGGAGAAGAAAAGAGTTGAGAGGAGAGAGGGGAAGAGTAAAGAGTAGAGGAGAGTCAAGAGGAAAGAAGAGGAGAGGAGAGTCAAGAAGAAGATAGTCAGGACTAGAGAAGAGTCAGAAGTAGAGGAAAGTTGAGAGGAGAGTTAGAGGAGAGGAGAGTTAGAGGAGAGTTAGAGGAGACGAGGATCAAGAGGAGAGGAGAGGCAAGAGGAGAGGAGGATCAAGAGAAGAGGAAAATCAGTGGAGGAGAAGTCAGGAGGAGAGGAGGAGGATCAAGAGGAGAGAGGGAGAATCGAGAGGAGAGGAGGAAAATCAGTAGAGGAAAAGAGTTGAGAGGAGAGTCAAAAGAAGAGGAGAGTCAAGAGTGGAGGAGGATTGAGAGGAGAGAGGGAGAAGCAAGAGAGGAGGAAAATCAGTAGAGGAGGAGGCTCAAGAGCAGAGGAGGATCAAGAGAGAAGGAAAATCAGTAGAGGAGGATCAAGAGGAGAGAAGGAGGATCGAGAGGAGAGATAGAGGATGAAGAGGAGAGGAGGAAATCAGTAGAGGACAATCGGTAGAGGAGAATTGAGATGAGGATCAAGAGCAGAGCAGGAGACCCGAGATCCTCTCCTGGACGCTCCTCAGGCCTGAGTCTCCTCCTGCTCCGTTCCCTGCTGAGTCCTCCACGTCCTCTCC